TCTGCAAATTGCGGTATATATACTGGAATTTTAATTTTTATTATACTAGTAATGGTGGAGATCAGCGACTTATAGTGGGACTGCGGCGGGCATTCTGACACTGGGGGGAACTGACTAACTGCCAGTGACATCCCCAGTGACACTAATACAGTGATCAGTGCTAATAAAAAACGCTGACACTGGGCAGGAAGGGGTTAACATCTGGGGCGATCAAAGGGTTAACTGTGCACTGTGTGTGTTGTACTGCATGCGTTTTACTGTGTGCTGTGTGTGTTGTACTGTGTGCTGCTTGTGTTGTACTGTGTGCGTTTTACTGTGTGCTTTGTGTGTTTTACTGTGTACGTGTGTTTTACTGTGTACTGTGTGTGTTGTACTGTGTGCGTTTTATTGTGTGTTGTGTTTTACTAGGGAGACATGCTGTTTTGTATCTCTCTGCTGTGCAGAGTGCTGGACGAGAATCTCTGGCTGGGACCCGGTCATTGACATCTCTGCCAATAGCGGCATGGGTAGGGCGGCACATGCGCGCAGGTCCCCTACCTGGAAATGCAAGTCATATATATGTGTGTAATTTTTGCATAGTCCTGGCTCCCTGCAGCAGTACTTATGCTATAGGGCAGAGGGCAACTGGTTAAACTATCATTTTATTTGACAGAAATCCAGACCCAATGTAGTATATAGATAAAAACTGGAAGCTTCAATATCTAACTAGGTAACACCTTTATCTGCTATCCAGCCAATATGCAAATCTCCTACCCAGTATCCTCATAAGCGTCTGAGCTTACCCTTATCTACAACCCTATACAATTGTTTACATCTTTTCTGTACATCCAACCTCCAATAAAGTGTGTAAGCAGCCTTGGCTCCTATTGACCATGAGCAATTTAGGAAAATTTAACGCAATTTTTTTTCACATGCAAACATGTTCTTTCTATGTGTATGTTTTTGTTTTGGCCAGCAAAGAGCAGTGTCATCTGTGACACCATATGTGGTTGTCATCCTTGTATCTGCTCCTGATTTTTATTTGCAATGTTGTGGTGTCTACTAATATGGGACCTCCTGAGCCATGTCTAATATGCCTATGTCTATTTCTTCCTGCCTCTGCCTCTTGCAATGATTCTTGAATTGGACATAATTGGGGCTGTAGAGGTCTCTGTGGGTCCTTGCAAGGCAGATGAAAGCCTGTGCATCCAGGATTCATCCACTCCTGAATCCTCTATTTAGTTCACAGGCTAGAGGTTGCTAGCAGGAAAATATTGGTTGTTAGGTGCTAAAAATGTGCCAAAAAAAATGTTGTGCATTTTTACGAACTCCAAATGAAGTCTATGTTGCCAAAAATGTGAGATTCTGACTGAAAAAAAAAACATCACTTACTTTTCCCCACGCTCAAGTGGGAAAGGGCACCATTCGAAATAATAAGAAACATGCAAAAAATTGCTCAGGTGTGAATGGGGTCTTAGATGCAGATCAATGACATTTTAGGTGCCATTCTGCCAGCAACTCAGTGCCAGGGGCATCTGTTTATTTACAGCACAAACACGGCGATGATAAAGCAGTACTATGAAAGCTTGATTCTGTAATAGTATTTATTCATTGTACATAATCAAATCAAGATAGCCTAAACATACAGTGAGGAACAGAAGTATTTGAACACCCTGCGATTTTGCAAGTTCTCCCACTTAGAAATCATGGAGGGGTCTGAAATTCACATTGTAGGTGCATTCCCACTCTGAGAGACAGAATTTAAAAAAAAATTCAGGAAATCACATTGTATGATTTTAAAGAATGTATTTGTCTTGCACTGCTGAACATAAGTATTGGAACACCTGAGAAAATCAGTGTTAATATTTGGTACAGAAGCCTTTGTTTGCAATTACAGAGGTCAAATGTTTCCTGTAGTTCTTGACCAGGTTTGCACACACTGCAACAGGGATTTTGGCCCACTCCTCCACACAGATCTGTCAGGTTTCGGGGCTGTCGCTGAGCAACACAGAGTTTCAGCTCCCTCCAAAGATGTTCTTTTGGATTTAGGTCTGGAGACTGGCTAGGCCACTCCAGAACCTTGATATGCTACTCACGGAGGCACTCCTTGGTTATCCTGGCTGTGTGCTTCGGGTCGTTGTCATGTTGGAAGACCCAGCCACGACCCATCTTCAATGCTCTGACTGAGGGAAGGAGGTTGTTGCTCAAAATCTCACAATAAATGGCCCCATTCATCCTCTCCTTAATACAGTGCAGTCGTCCTGTCCCCTTCACAGAAAAGCACCCCCAAAGCATGATGTTACCACCCCCTTGCTTCACAGTAGGGATGATGTTCTTGGGATGCAACTCATCCTTTTTCCTCCAAACACGAGTGAAATTTAGACCAAAAAGTTCTACTTTGGTCTCATCTGACCACATGACTTTCTCCCATGCCTCCTCTGGATCATCCAGATGGTCATTGGCAAACTTCGGATGGGCCTGGGCATGTGATGACTTGAGCAGGGGAACCTTCCGTGCAATGCATGATTTGAAACCATGACGGCGTAGTGTTCTACTGACAGTGACCTTTGAAACTCTGGTCCCAGCTCTCTTCATGTCATTGACCAGCTCCTCCCTTGTAGTTCTGGGCTGATTCCTCACCTTTCTTATCATCAGTGATACCCCATGAGGTGAGATCTTGCATGGAGCCCCAGTCTGAAGGAGACTGACAGCCGTCTTTAGCCTCTTCCATTTTCTAACAATTGCTTCAACAGTTGATCTATTTTCACCAAGCTGTTTGGCAATTGCCCCGTAGCCCTTTCCAGCCTTGTGGAGGTCCACAATTTTGTCTCTGGTGTCTTTTGACAGCTCTTTGGTCTTGCCCATGGTAGTAGTTGGCGTCCGACTGACTGTGGGGTGGACAGGTGTCTTTAAAGAGCTCAGACAGGTTCTACTAAGTTAGATTAATGAGTGGAGTAGAGGTGGACTTTTTAAAGGCACAGTAACAGGTCTTTGAGAGCCAGAATTCTTGCTGTTTCTTAGGTTTTCAAATACTTATGTTCAGCAATGCAAGACAAATACATTCTTTAAAAATCATACAATGTGATTGCCTGAATCTTTTAAAAAAAATTCTGTCTCTCAGAGTGGGAATGCACCTACGATGTGAATTTCAGACCCCTCCATGATTTCTAAGTGGGAGAACTTGCAAAATCGCAGGGTGTTCAAATACTTCTGTTCCTCACTGTATATAGTAAATGCACAGTGTAACCAATACTAGATCTCTGGGAGGATTTGACGGTGCAAAACGCCAGCAGTTGCACTGGTGATATTGTTCATCCTCAATGTGGTCTGAGATCTGCCTTCTTTACAATGAATTGCTGCTGTAGATGCATTGCTCATGAATACTAAGCTGTGAAATTAGAATCCAGGTAGTAGAGAGGCTGAAGTGTCAATATTAGTAGTAGCTTTGAGACAAGGGTGAAGAAAACATCACCTTGGTTATTGTTGCTGGGTAATGATGATCAAAATCTGTCCTGGGGTTTTGTTACGATAGCTGCAGGAGGCTTTACAAGAGCAAAGCAGATCGGAAGGGATTACAAGGACTGATTGACTGAACTATATACATACAATGCTTTCCATGCCCCACATATTCATCCTAGGGGGGATTCAATTGAGTTGTGGCTTGTTTCTGCAGGTAGAAATGAAATTACAGACTGGAGGGAATGATTGGGACAATGTGAGATCAGCGTAGGGTGCCTATAGACATTAAAGTGATATTAATGTTATTTTTTACCTTAAAGGGGATTATATTTACCTGTTCTGTGCAACGATATTGCACAGAGTCTTCACCTATCTCCTTTTTTGGCAGTCCCCCACAGGGACTGTCCTCTCCTTCTTCCTCCGAGTGCTCCCAAAGCAAGACAGCTGCTAGGGGAGGATCTGTCTGCAAGTGCTCCTGAGCTGTGCTGTGTGCGTCCTCAGACACACACAGCGCCAGCAAGACAGGCCCACTGCTCCCTCCTCACCGATGTCTGACAGCAGCAGCAGACTTCGGCTCCCTTTGCTCTCAGAGTCTCATGCAAACCGAGGAAGAGAGAGGAGTGGTGCTACAGCTGGGACAGTGAAGGATTGGTGAGAGGTAAGTATTTATGGAATAAAGCAGAGCAGTTAAGCAGGGTATACACATGCACCTTTTTTTTTTCATTCAACCAGCGGGTTGAGGGAAAAAAAAAAAAATGACAGATAGCTGCATTAACACAAGCGATCTCTCCCACTGTGCTATTGTATTCTGACAGCCAAAAAGTTTCAGCTAGGCATAGTTTGTGTCACATCATCCTTTCCATTGTGAATAAACTCTTTACACACTGTGCAGTGTTCCAAAGTGTATCAATACTTTGCACGAACTAACATTTGACATGCTAAGGTTCACATGCAACAATAGTCAACAGGCTGAAAATGACTGAGCCAATGTTATCATATCTTTGATATACCTTGAACACAAGTGTGCTACTGATTAGCAAATCCTACTAGTATTGTACTGTAGCTATTCAATATACGGTACTGCTATATAATTACTGTGTAACCATGTACCATGCCTAATAGAGCTGAAACATAATCTTGCTGCTATGCTGTACTGGAATACACTTGTCTGATGGAGCCGTAGATGTAACAAAGACATTAATCTGCTAAAAACTGTCCTACATTGATCAGCAGGGGACGAGCCATTGCTGGGACAAGAGGTCCATTCTATATGACCCTCAGGAAAATCAGTTCTGGAAAAAAACAAAAATGTATAACTTAAAAAACCTGAACATGAAAGGGGGGGGGGGGGGGGGGGGGAGGTATTATTACTAGTCATCAGTTTGTCACACTCTAGTAAGGATATCTGTATCATACAAGTTTTAACCAATAAGATGGTAGATCAAAAAAACTGCTGGATGTTGATCATTTCCCAAAAGCGTAGAAAGATAGTGATGTATTCTTTTGAGAAAACAGAGCAACTGGGCACTCAAACAGATGTCCCTAGAACAGGGGTTAGCAACTGTGGCCCTCCAGCTGTTGTAGAACTACAAGTCCCAAGAGGCATTGCAAAACTCAGTTACAAGCATGACTCCCAAAGGCAGAGGCATGATGGGACTTGTAGTTCACCAACAGCTGGAGGGCCACAGTTGCCCACCCCTGCCCTAGAATACTATTGCTTAACACCACAGGGAAGGAAGCTCACAGATACCAGATGAAAACTAAATGGAAAAGTACTACAAAGATCAGCAAGGAGCGCCGTTCCAGGTGCAGGAGTATCATAAACAGAGCCCAAGAGATTAATGACATATGCAACAATTATTAGGACCAAGCAACTTGATCATAATTAAAAACTTCCAGAGAGGAGGCTGCTTACAGACATGGATGTTCTGAACCTGACAGTGCCGGACAGCATCCACCGATGGATGACCCTAATCCCGTGGCCAACGGGAGGTAGATAGAAAAAAACGAAGTGTCACCACTGCCAGAAATCACTGTAAATCCCTGTGGGTTCCAACAGCCTCCGTGAGATGCCGGTCAATGAGATCTGTTGACCAGAACTAACGCACACACGGTTCCTGGAAATGACGTCTTAACGTCTGACAACATGTGCAAAAAAACACACATAAAACTTGAGCGTTTCAATACATTTCTATGGAAAAAAACATACCAAAAATGCACCAATCTGTCCAGATTGAGCTACAAAAGTAATTCCAAAACTTTTCTGAGCTTCAGGTGTTTTGGAGTGGAGAACCACTACCATAGGAATGCACTGATTTTTTTTTTTTTTTTCTCCCTGAGCATCTTAGAGCTTAAAGCGTCGCACTACAAAACACTCAGATGTTAATGGGGCCTATTTGTTTTTAGCATGAGCAGAGGAACTATTTTAAGAACCCAAACCAGTGAAATAAATGGCCATTTTTGTTCAGAAAAATACATTTTGGTCACTCTGAAACACTTGCTTTTGTTTGCCATCCATGTAGAGACTGCTGAAAGTCTCCATTCAAAAACAGTAAGAAAAGAGAAGTGATCACTTTTATTGCTGTCTGTGTTTCTGCTGGAGAAATCAGTGTCTTTGTTGGAGAAATTTGTGTCTCTATGACTGTGTGTCCCAATGACCAGTAAAGAAACTGCTGAGAAACCCAATTAAGGGGAAATCTTTCAAGTGTACTCCTTACAGCTAAGCATCATAGAGAGTTTGTGTGAAATGACAACTGGCACCATCAGTATAACAGTTCAAAAATACTAAGTATCACCAACACACCACATGTAGTAAAACAATAAACCGGATATTTATTTGCCACCAAACAGAAAAGTTTTGCACCTGAAACATTTTTGGTGGCAGACAAACGTCCTATTTATTGTGTTTCTACAAGTGGTTTGCTGGTGATACTTTGCATCTTCCAATGGACACCTGTTCTGATCACAGCTGTTTGGGAGGGGCTTTTACTCATGTTTGCTTTGTCTCTTTCACAGCAAGGGAAGGGAAATCTTCCTGATAGACACCAAATAAAAAGTTAGACACTCTAACACGTATAAAATTCAGAATACTAACCACAGCTTACAAAGCCATCCACAACACTGCCCCTAGCTACACTGCCAACCTCATCCGCAGATTCCGCCAAAATAGCCCATTCTGCTCCTCCCAAGATATCTTCCTCTCTAGCTCCCTCATCACCTCCTCCCACACTCGCCTCAAGGACTTCTCCAGAGCCTCCCCGTCCTCTGGAACTCCCTACCACAGTATGTCCGGTCAGCCCCCACCCTGTCTGTTTTTAGCGATCTTTGAAAACTCACGTATTCAAGGAAGCCTACCCCACCTCCACCTAAGAACTCCACTTGAATCACCTCCGCCAGATCATCCCCTGCAGCTATCACCTTTTGTATCACCTCCCCCTTCCTTTAGATTGTAAGCTCCAGGAGCAGGGCCCTCATATTCCTTCTGTACTGAAATGTATTGTAATTGTACTGTCTCCCTTATATCGTAAAGTGCTGCGCAAACTGTTGGCGCTATATAAATCCTGTATAATAATAATAATAACAACACAACCTTATTACTCCAGAAGAATCCTTGGAATCATTTTCAGGGGAATTAATTCATCAGGAGGTCAATGGACAAATGCCACTTACGCTGGTGGTGGGTGGGAAGAATGCCCTCTTACATTGGTGGTCAGTGGGAAGAATGCCCTCTCTTACATTGGTGGTGAGTGGGAAGAATGCCCTCTTACATGGTGGTCAGTGGGAAGAATGTTCCTTACAGGGGCATTCAAAATGCCACCCTTACAGACAGCTAAAAATATCCTTGGTGTCATGCAGCCATCTCTGCCAAGTGGCACTGGCCCTGAACTAGGCAGGTACCATGGAAGGTGAATTCTCATTGAGAATGTCTTCCCACTGAGAATGTCTTTTCTAACCTTTATTCCCTTTATCCAAAACTGAAAATGTAAAACTAATAAATTCTGATAGCTTGCAGAATCATCCAACAAGAGCTGCTCATCCATGATCATCAGAAAACATGAAAAACGTGTTTTAGTGGACAGCACTTTGCCTTGCAGCACAAGGGCCTTCAGTTCCAGTTCTGATCAGGACTAACTGCATTTCTCCCTGTGTCTGCATGGTAATACTCTTTCTTTCCACACTCAAACATGCTGATATAACCTACAGCACGGGTGTCAAATTGGTGGCCCTCCAGCTGTGCCAAAGTCCCATGAGGCATTGCAAGATTGACAGTTACAAGCATGACACCCAAAGGAAGAGGCATGATGGGACTTGTAGCTTTGCAACAGCTGGAGGGCCACCAGTTTGACCCCCCCCCCCGACCTACAGTATCTAAAATGACCCTAGTAAGAAGCTTTACTGAGTGCCCCTGAGATTGCTGCCTTATCATCTGCCCCAAACAGCAGATAAAGTACTTTGAGTCCCAGAGAAAAAAAATGCTATAGAAAAAAAAAATAGTGATGATCTTTAGCAGAGGATGTAATCTGTACACACAACAAGCATACTCATAGTCCATTAGCCAACAAGAAATGTGTTTTCCTTTTTTGAATTGTACTTAAATTATGTTTGAGAACCACCATGAAATGGAGAATCCCATGTCTCCTTTCCACAGCAAGCTTGCTTTTGAAGGTGTGGGAGAGTGTTACCAGTAGAATGGATTGAGGAACGTCATGTACGGCGGCCGATCTGACAGAGGCCAACTCCTGTCGAAGGGGCATGACCGAAAATACTGACTAGTATGTTCTGGCGAGGCCGGTAGTGCCATCCCCCTATCAGAACACAATAGCTCAGCGAGGGAGATCGCTGTCCTAACATCGGATTGTTAGTACAGCGGCTCCTCCTGAGCTCGGCAGTTTTTATTCGTTCAGCCCGCTGGGATGAATGAAAACAAAAAACCTGCTAGTGTGTACCAGGCTTTATTTGGACAAGGTAAAGCTGTTCAACTTTGTCAATTCTTACAATACTCTCTCAACAAATGGGAAAAGCAAGACAATGAAGCAATTAAGGGAACGGCAAGGAAGTGGAACTGTGGTAAAGTGATAAGTAAAACAAAAAGTGGAAATGTGATAAAGAAATACATAAGGAAGTGGAAATGTGATGAAGAGATAAGTAAAAAAGTGCAAATGTAATAAAGAGATAGGTAAGGAAGTGGGATTTTGATAAAGAGATAGCTAAAGAAGTGAGATTGTGATAGACAGATAAGTAAAGAAGCAGAATTGTGGTAGAGAGATAAGAAAAAAAGAGGAATTGTGATCAAGAGATAAGTAAGGAAGTTGAATTTTGATAAGGAGATAGGTAAAGAAGTGGAAATGTGATAAAGAGATAGGTAAAGAAGTGGAATTGTGATAAAAATTGTGATAAGGAGATAAGTAAAGAAGTAGAATTGTGATCAGGAGATAAGTAAAGAAGTGGAATTGTGATAAGGAGAAAAGTAAAGAAGTGGAATTGTGATAAAGAGAAAAGTAAAGAAGTAGAATTGTGATAAGGAGATAAGTAAAGAAGTAGAATTGTGATCAGGAGATAAGTAAAGAAGTGGAATTGTGATAAGGAGATAAGTAAAGGAGTAGAATTGTGATAAGGAGAAAAGTAAAGAAGTGGAATTGTGATAAGGAGATAGGTAAAAAGTAGAATTGTGATAAGGAGATAGGTAAAAAGTAGAATTGTGATAAGGAGATAAGTAAAGAAGGGGAATTGTGATAAAGAGATAGGTAAAGAAGTAGAATTGTGATAAGGAGATAAGTAAAGAAGGGGAATTGTGATAAAGAGATAGGTAAAGAAGTGGAATTGTGATAAGGCGATAGGTAAAGAAGTGGAATTGTGATAAAGAGATAGGTAAAGAAGTGGAATTGTGATAAGGAGATAAGTAAAGAAGTAGAATTGTGATAAGGAGATAGGTAAAGAAGTAGAATAGTGATAAAGAGATAGGTAAAGAAGGGGAATTGTGATAAAGAGATAAGTAAAGAAGTGGAATTGTGATAAGGAGATAGGTAAAGAAGTGGAATTGTGATAAAGAGATAGGTAAAGAAGTAGAATTGTGATAAGGAGATATGTAAAGAAGGGGAATTGTGATAAAGAGATAGGTAAAGAAGTGGAATTGTGATAAGGAGAAAGGTAAAGAAGTGGAATTGTGATAAGGAGATAGGTAAAGAAGTGGAATTGTGATAAGGAGATAGGTAAGGAAGTGGCATTGTGATAAGGAGATAGGTAAAGAAGTAGAATTGTGATAAGGAGATAGGTAAGGAAGTGGCATTGTGATAAGGAGATAAGTAAAGAAGTAGAATTGTGATAAGGAGATAAGTAAAGAAGTAGAATTGTGATAAGGAGAAAAGTAAAGAAGTAGAATTGTGATAAGGAGATAAGTAAAGAAGGGGAATTGTGATAAAGAGATAGGTAAAGAAGTGGAATTGTGATAAGGAGATAAGTAAAGAAGGGGAATTGTGATAAAGAGATAGGTAAAGAAGTAGAATTGTGATAAGGAGATAGGTAAGGAAGTGGCATTGTGATAAGGAGATAAGTAAAGAAGTAGAATTGTGATAAGGAGATAAGTAAAGAAGTAGAATTGTGATAAGGAGAAAAGTAAAGAAGTAGAATTGTGATAAGGAGATAAGTAAAGAAGGGGAATTGTGATAAAGAGATAGGTAAAGAAGTGGAATTGTGATAAGGAGATAAGT